AGGTGGTTATTCTAACGATGTGGCTGTTCCCTCTCATAAAATCGAATCCAATGCAGTGGAACACCGTTTGATTGAAAGATCTTACCCACAGTGCCCTTTCAACAGGACATATGTTTACCAAAGGCCGGCATTCAATGTGACCTGAAGTTTTTGACGACACTTCGTTCGGCAGAAGGTGATGTCATTCTAGCTGCCACATAGCATAGTAATATGATTCTGACTTGTATATCTTTTATTCAACCTCGGCATAAGTAATCAATATTTTCGTTGACCGTCAATCGTACACTGCATTAGAAATCAGTTTCATCGCGTGGACGTCTCAACGTTTTAGTCTTTTTCTTCGTGTGTAATTTGTTTATCGAGATACACCATTTTCCCAAAGTAGGATTCTCAAATTTATGTGGAAATCTTTGTAGAGAGGAAGGATCCAGCATAATTAAGGTATAAAAGTAGAAACATGTATATTCCTTCTCTTCGCAGGTCAATCCAAAAATAAGAAATTTATGTCGTCTTAGAGACCGTAGTTGAATCATGGTCCGGTATTGATCGGTTTTGTGTTGAAATTCATTAAAATTCATTGTATAGACATTTATTTCAGGATCAGCTGGATAAGGCTTTCAAGCAGAGCGAGTCTACCGAATTCGTAGGTAAGGCCGTTGTGGCGTTAGCTGCAGATGCAAAAGTACAAAAAAGTCAGGAAAACTTTGATGACTTACGACCTTGCTAACGAATATGGTTTCAAGGACATTGACGATGAGTCAATTTTATATGAACTAATCGAAAATTTTTATTCTGAAAATCCTATTTCTAAGTATTCCAACCTTATGAGATGACGTGCGATTGTCTCGTAACTTGGAAACCGCCCTTCCATTTCCGGCAAAAAAATCCAATTTTTTTTGTTTCGTAAGAACTTTTGAGTTAATACAGTTTTTTTTCGTAAAGTTGTGGTTTTTTCCTTCGAAAAAAGCGAGGTTTTAGGAATCATTAGCGTTAATCTTGCTAAAGTTAATCATATAGGAGTTTCATCAGTGATATTTTTTCATGGTTCTTCGATGATAATGTTTTCTGAAACTTGATCACCTGAATTTCTATTGGATCACTCACCAATCTGCGTAACCGTCGGAACGGCCTGCTGACGGTCATAATAACCCTCATGGTCCGCAAACGGTTTGTATAATTTACTTCCTATACCGTTTTTTTTCATCGCTTAAACATTCTTCCATATTTTAGGTAGCTTACCAATGGATAATCGTCGCGTCTCGAAGGCTCTTGAATTCTTCGGATTCAGTAGAATTGCCTCCATCATTCCCACCTTCCTCAGAATTCCTCTGTGGGGCATGCATTTTTCCTCGTATAAATTCCCTTATAGGATATGGTAGATTTCATATCACTGTAATTTGTAGATTTTTTTAGTTAAAGCGTTTAGAGTTTTTTGCAGCACTATGCAACAAACCACGCCTTTTTATACTCACAAAAGTGCTGTAGTCTTTTCTACCTCGTGTTTATACTTATTTAGTGTTTTGCATCGTTTAACTTTCAATCGCCGACATCAAAAAAATGTTCCAGTCTGCAAAAGTCATCTTTTTTTTTTGTTCTCTGCTCTACTGTTTTGCAATTTGATCTGAGTGTAATAATAAAGTTTTCAGAGCTCCAGGTAGCTATTTTGTTATTTACTGCTTGTTTACATAGTTGCATAGCACTATATGAATCACGAAAATGCATTCACAATTACCGTTAGGTCTGTGTCTTCTTCATCGAGGAAATTCTTGTGCTTACGGAATTCCAAGATAGTTGACTAGAATGGTCCTCGAGGACATTGGCGCCTAGTTACTGAATTCACTTCTAGCTAAACTTCAGGATGTTTGTCAATACTGTTATCGTCGTCGCTAATATTTATCATAGTTTGATTTATGTCTTAACGTTTCCTTAACCATATGAAGCCTTACACTTCATATTTCCCTAACCGAAGTACAACGCTTGGGACCCACTCATTCTCGTCATTGGTCTAGTTTTTACGAATACGTGTACTAAATTGGTGTATACTTTATCTAAACAGTGAGCTGACTAGAAAGTATTGCGATTAGAGCATCAGATAGATTAGTGCTACAATGATTCTGTTCGAGGCTATCATAGACCTGGGAATAAAGCTTCTCACCTGCTGCAACAGTTTCTATTGAACTGTTTTCAGTCAAGCTGTTTTGGACCATATATTTGTTTTAAAGCTACTAAGTGTGACAGTTGTCACATAACGAATCTCACCTCGTCCTCTTAGAAACACAAGGAAAAATCTAGCGTCTAAGAGTTGTAAATCACTGCTTGCATTACAAGACGTGATGCAGATAGGTAGCAGCTTCCTAAGACGATTCAAAATCATGGACCTTCAAAGGAGCATTAGGTGAATAGTCAAAATCATGGCCTTTGGCAAGGTAAAACTGGTGCGTGGTGATTCTGGTGCTCTCTGCAACAAAACTACACTAGCCTTGTTTTGCGTTACTAAAAAACCAAATCAGTCTGTCGAACGACGAATGTTCTTGTTTCTAGGATTTTTTCCCTTCTTCTTCAAAACTCCTTCCAAAATCCTTATGAAATATTGCTAAGATAGTTGACGTTCGTGTTTAGCCAATCCTCTCGGGGTGCTGCAGTCCACCCACTTAAAGTAGGCATCGACGAACGATTTACGCAATTGCCGTCAAGTGAAAAAAATCACTGGATCCGCGGTGTGGTACACTCGATTGCTCTTGTCTGGTATTTTCGAAACATTATAACGTTTGATTTGGAAGTTCGTCGTCGCATAAGTAAGGGGACTGGAGCACTTCGAGAGGATTGGGTTAAAAGGATCTACGCCATATCTCGCATTCTGTTCATGCATGCGAGATTATATGTGCTGCTGATCTGCAATAAAAACTGAAAGACTCGCAAAGCACTAAACAGTGAACAGAAATAATACTTCACCTTCTGCTTACTTTTTGTTTCATTCCACATCAGTGTGCCATGTGAATTACAACCACTAGAATGCTCTGATAAAGCGGCGAGTACTCAAGCGAAAGTATTCTCCATGCAAAAGAATTTTATACTACGTTACCATCTGCTGAAGTTATGAAAGTGTTCCACTGAGTGAATTTCGTGACAATTTGAGTACTCTAGGCTGTGAAAAAAGCGAAAACCAAAATATGAACGAATAGCTCAAGGAATAGATCTTCTTCATAAGTTCATTACAATCTCGTGCCTAATTTCTAGATCAAAGAGAGCACCTTACGTGAAGAAAAAGAGTATTCTGCATACTGCGTAACAGAAACAACGCCCTATTGAACTCCACAGCTAGGCTATCATCGTGACTGCCAGGATACTCGCTCAATCACTATTCTACGACGTTCAAGAAGAAGACGAAAAACGAAGTGAATGCTACAAGTACTGGAATCGGCACAACGAGAAAAAAATACTGTGATGACGTTTTAAATATATAAATAGATAACTGTGTTACAGGTAATTCTAGACTTTAAAGTATAACAGTTTCTTTTCCAGAACATTTCTTTAACGCATACTAATGGCTAATGCTCAACACATCAACAATGGACGCGTCCTTTATTGGAAAATGTCTTTTGAAAGCGATTCTTATTGTCACAGATATGTTGTATCAAATTTAGTATCTATTTGAAGTATTCAACAAACAGTAAAAGCACGGTGAGTTAGTTTCTTGTAATCGATTCGTCTTTCTTTTTGTTTGAGAAAGAGAATTTCACCAAAGGTGGACTTGAAAAGATAAAGTTTCAAGCTAAGTAATTGACTATGCATCGACACGTGTACATACGAGACGAATTATGCAAAATGCACGTGACCTCTACGAATCTCATTCGTTACTGGCCTTTTCAAGAGAAAATACTAAGCCTTAGAATAAATACTGCCTTCTTTTTCAACAAGGCTCGAGGATTGTAATATACAATCTATCCCAATAGCTGGTGGATTTCAGCTATTCCAGAGCTCTGAGTAATCAAGTTGCTTAGTCGGCCAAAGCCTCCACAGTCTCAACAGAAAAGTCCGAATTCCTAAATTACAACTGCACTTGAGTCAGACGTTACTTTTCTGCACACTCACCACTTTTTAGGTGTATTCCTCTGAATACTTCACACAGAGGACAAAGATGTTAATTTGCCAACTACCAGTTTGCTAGTTCAACCGTCTGTCATTTTCGAAATTATTTTTGCTAGTAGATGTAGGACTCTTTCTGTATTGGGTTGTTGCTTTCTGCAACACTATTGCTTCATTAAGTTTTTTTTTTTCCTAATTCAAACCGAGTAATTTATATTAAAACAAGTCTGGATTAAAATGAAATGGACTACCGCAAAGTGATGTTTTGATTCGAATCGTCACTTTTTTAAAAACTGTATTGGACCACAGTATCACACCCACCGCATAATCCTGGTGTTGCTTCATAGATTATCTTTTCCTCACCCTAATGGAGCATATACGGAAAAAGGCATTCGAAGACAACCAGCTCAAAAGTGACCCCAGCGACTTTTTCTACTATCAGCCCCAATCTGTTTGGGCCCAAAGTAGATAATTGTTTCCAACAAATGCTTCCCTAACATTGATCATGTTGGTGATTATACTGTTAACTAAGTGTTTTCCAATATAAGGGCGAGAGTGTCGAATTACGAAAGACATCATGCGACAGCACAATAGTTCACAGAACATGAGACAATGTTCGGAGCAGGTATTCGAAGATATATTGTTCATGTTCTTACCAGTAGAAAAGAGGTATGAATTTTCTATGAACGCTGGATAAAGCTAAATAAAAAGTTTCATGTTGTTGCAGATCGTGTCGTTTCATCACTAGCTCAAGAATGAATATCTTCGCTACAGCATTCTTCTCAAACTTTCGTACTGATGGTCTGCTTAGTTGGCGGTTTCCCGTCAGTGCACAGAAAATACCACTGGCATCGAGTTTTCACATGAGAGTTGTGCAGATATACCCAATGATAAGGAGTGATGTTCAAAACATTTGCGTCAGCTGGGATTCGAGCCCACATCTCACCGTTTCCGGGTGCGCGTGCTAAACCGTTACACTACCGAGGCCCGTTTTGCACAACACTCTTTCCATTCATTCAGGCTTCCAATAACCATTCGATAACACAATTATGAAAGATTCTGACGATATGCTTGGTTTTCAAAAAATTTCTCTCTACGCTGTTACGGTTTTAAAAAAGTCAAGTGTCACAGTCGTCACTGTGTCGATCGTGCAGCGCAATTCACATGTGGAGGGCGATGCAGGCCGAATGCGAAATCCAGCATTTTTTTGGCTGGGACAACACAAAAAGAAGTTTTTTTGAAAACCAGGCACATCATTGAAATTGTTGAGATTGTGTTATCAAATGGTAATTGGGCTTGGATGGAAGGCTGTGTTCAGTGGAAAACACTTGAATGTGCGATAGTTTCATTCTTAATGCTATAGCACATTGAGAAATTTTTTTCAGGAAGCAAGCGCCATTGAAACTCTCGAAATCTAAACTATAGATTGGATAATAGAAGCTGATGGCTTGATGCCAATGTTGCGAAATGCATTCACATACCGGTGCGAGCTCTGCACGCCGTATGTGAAATACAATCTTGATTTCAGTGTTGAAGCACAACAAAAGTTTATTTAGTAATCCAAGAAGCAGTTAAATTTGGCAGGATTTGTGCTTTGAATAATTACTAAATTTTTTTGGAAAGCTTTGCCTAGTTGAAAGAATCTAGGCTTACGTGTCAAGAAAATTCTAGGTTCTTTTTTGCCAGACGGCGACAAATAAATATTCGACCCCATTTGCTGGACATGAACTTTGCATAAAAGTTTCACTAGGCATTGGAAAGCGTAACTCTCTGGCTAAAGTGATAAGTAGCCGGCTCTTCAAGGCACACTCTTATGACGCCGTAAAATCGAAAATAAAATCATGTTCTTCACCCGTCGCTTGTCTTCATTTGAATCTCGCACATAGTCCGCTGATAGCACGAAAAACATGTGAACGTGCACAGAAAACTTCGTGGTATCTGGCCGATTGTTTCTGAGTCGGCGCTATCCCATCTTGCTTCAAGACGACGCAAGGCTACATGTCGCCGAATTGACAAAGAGGAGGTTGAAAACTGGGCTGAGAGTTCCTGGATCATCCACCGTGCAGTACTGACTTTTCGTCGTTTGACTATCTCATTCGAATGCTGAAGCATCCTGAGCAAGACTATATTATAGGGCATCAATCATTTGTTTTGAAAATTGACAAGTTTCCTTGAATCCAAGGATGGCGAATTCAGCAGCACTGAGTACTTACTACTGCCTACAAGATGACAGAAATGTGTTCACGCTGATAACGCATAGTTTGAATAGTGTTGTTAAGCAATTTCAATCACGTCTAGTTGATAAATCTGGTGTCTATTGCTCTAATATCAAAACTTATGAGGAGACCTGATATTGCGTGGGCTAGAGCTTGATCTCAGAATATTGGTAGCCATTTGATAGCGTGAATTTCGAAGATATAAAGCAAATTTCGGCGATTCCAGAGCTTTATTCGTTCTCTGGAGAGGCCGTCTTAATGAACAGTAGCAAGAAAAACAAGAATGGGACGCAAACAAGACGAGCATTGCTTGTCGGCTGACGTGGGTTGTTGTGAATCGATAAACCGAGCAGCTGCGATCCTCACGTTAGAGAAAGTTTTTTGCGATTTTTCTCCGGATTAATGAGAAAGGTCTAGATAAAAATTATGACTCTGATAAAGCAAGATTTCCTTTGCACCTGCATGCATTTTGCGTAATAGGTTTAAGCTGTTCAAAGCCTCGGCTTACTGACGAGTTCCATTTGACAAAATTCTACTGCGAACTTGTTCTTCTCGCTCAGAAATTCATTTGAGGCAACACGGAACTTCTCATTCGGTTTAAAAAAAATAGTGCCGATAATTCTACGTCTTTGATGACACTCTCGATTTGTCATCTACAAAGAAGAGTTATGCGGAACTTTTTTGTAGGCATGGTCTGTCTAGAAAGAAGTTGGAAACTTCAAACACACTGACAGATGATTTGTATTGACTTCCTGCTATATGATAATAGATCCTTGACTTTTCCAAAAAACCCTTTTCCAAAAAACCCCTCCCAAATTCTACAGAATCCAAGAGCATTAGTAGAAAGTTTGCAGTTGTTAAAAAAATGATGTAAAATTTAGTCGCCATATAACATATACAAGGACAAAGTTTATTTCTGTGGATTTAGCAGAAAAATTGCAAAAATCAACAGCGCTTCATAAATACCTGGCCTTGTCAACTTGAAGCAAACTTAACAAAAGCTGCAGCTCATAATTGTCTCGATCACGTTCTTAGGAACATCAGCTTCATTTTCTCATCTTAGTGTATTGGCAACTTCAGCAGAATCAAGGATTGTTCTCCTTTGAAACAGAACTCCGTGCTTCTCAAAACTATAATTTCTATTATTCAAAGCGCTACTTCATATTTCGTTCCTTCTATGAGTAGAGCTCTATAACCATCTTGTCCTTTCTTCGGTTTCTGATTTCTATCAAGAAATCCAACAGATATTGTTCCTTTTACCATTATTCACTGAGCTTACAGAAAGAGTTGATAGCTATCATGTTTTTATGGATTAATAATACTATCATAGTGCTGAGGGCAGACACCAATGGAAACACCAATGTCACTTCGCAACGTTTCGCTTTTGTCAATCGATTTCTCCTTCAATAAAGTTGTTTCGAAAGTTCATTCCTAACGGGGTGTTTCTTTTAGTGCGAATTACCTTATTCTTAGGAAAGTCAGAATTTATGACGCATCAAAGCAATAAATGGTGAAAAGCGAATTTGAGACACGCTCTAAATTGGTTCACGCAACGAAGTGTTTTTCTCAGGAAACACATATAACTCGCTCTTGTTCATAATTTGACAATTTTTTACTAACTAGTGTTATGCGCTTTTAATTAAGAAATCGCCTATAATGTCACACTTGACGGATTTTGTTTAGAATATATTGCAATAAAAAGTATAAGAATCTTGAAACTCTTAGAAAACTGCTAGAACGTCTGCCATCCCACTTTAGCGACATTGTGTTTAGCTCTGAATCGTTCTTTGCCGTAAAAGCGATATGTAGCAAAAAGTTGTTGACAAATGAATTAAAGTTGAAGGCTTGAATCAACTTCAAACCTTTGATTAACTATACTAGGCGCTGCATGTTATCCACTACATAGGCCCTTGCTCTGTGTTCCTACCAACCGCATTCGAATTCTTTTTTTTTTTCTGCTATAGTTAATCATCCGTCAACGGTATTCACACAGAGAGCATAAAGGCATAAACTTCGGTTAGGCTGAAGAAATGGTTTTGAATCGAAGATGGTTTTTCTTCAGCCGAGTGTACACCATTTGCTAGATTTATAGGAACTGGAAATGAGCAGTTCCAAAATTATGGACAGACTTCACTCCGACTTAGTTGTGATTTCAATGTTTACCATTGGGACGGTGTTGGGATGTGGAGTAATGCCACCAGGTCTAGGCAATGAATAGAAAGTTATCATAGTGCAAATCACACTACTAAGTAGCTGTGGTGAGTTTAAAGTTTCAAATGAAAAGGTCTTGCAATTTTAACACAAAAGGAGATTCCAAAAATCATTTACTGAATGGATATAAGTTTCCATGCTCAACACAAAGGCAGAAAAATTTTGTTTCAGCGAGGACTGTTGGTTTCCACGTCACCGGCTTCACTTTACCTGTTTCCATGGTTTACACTGGAACTCCCACTCTTCCTGCTATGTTTCCTGGCATTCATACAAGCAGTGGAGCAGTATAAGCATTTTTAACACGTATTGTGATGCAAACAGTGAGTTGGAAACTCTTGGTTCTCACTTTTTTTTGCAATTTCTAAAAGTTGTAGTAGGTGAGCTCCGCTTTCTGACAAATTTCTGGTCTACAAGTATCAGTGTTGCTTGCTTCATTATATTTTACTCAAGACAACTTTTAAAGAATTTCTAAACGTGGAAATTTTACTTCTAGATCTATGATGTTCTCCAACAGCAAGGTCGCGTCGTTCTTCTTCCTGATGCAATAATCTCTGCTATTTTGGATCAACTTAGTGTTAGGATCAGCTACAACCCACTTGAATGCAAGGCGATTCAAGCTAATCCAACGATGATGTGTAAGTTTCCAGCATTCAAAATGACGTGAGGAGATTACACTGCTAACGCATAAGAACACATGGAAGAACTGGATTTTCTCAATGCTGTTGCAAAAATCATCTCACATTGAAAATGGGAAAACGCCTCAGATGTGAAAGGAGACTAAAATTAGTTTGCTTTTCGAAGCCTCTTCGATACTCAGAGACTAATGCCCTTTTACTTGGATACTTAGATGACCCTTATTCACTAGTGGCGCAGGCCTTTAGCTCAATTTTCTTTCCTTTCTCTCTCGGGCAAATGTCATTCATTGTGGTGGTCTGTTTCAAACCTGATGACGTCCGGAGTAATTCGTTGCCTTGATTGTCTTCTGAAAAGTAATATTCCTGGTCAAGATGTTTTTAATCAGTAAGTAATTTTTGTGGAAGATGTATCATAGATAGACCTTTTTCAACGCGGTTTTTCTTTCTTTTCTTTCTTTTGATTCAATAACTGCAACTTTGCATTCGCATTCGTTAGAGTTTTCAGCTTCAATCTATACATTTCGAGGTTTGATCATTGTGTACAGAGAACAGTGAGAGCCTTAATTTCTTTCTTCTTAAGTGGAATACTCCTGCTTCTTTTCTGTTGGCGCATTTGGAGCAATTTCACAGATAGTTGAATCTCTGATGGCACTGGAGCCTAGTGGTGTGATGTTGGACAGGATGCGCATGAAGCTAAGCTCCATCCCCAACACTATCCCGGCAGTGAACAAGAACGCCCTATGGTATGCCACAGCTGGGCCATCCTCGAGATTGCAAGGAGAATTGCTAGACCAGTATTCTACTCCATTCAAGAGGAAGGCGAACAACGAATCGAATGCTAGAAGTACTCGGATCCGCACAATAAAAAGTGTGATGAAGGGTTGTGTAAAAAAAGATAAATAATGAATAAATAAATAACTAGATA